TATATATATATATATATATTTATTGCTTAACCACAAATATTTTGAATTAGAAATCCATATTTCTTTTAAGAAAATGATATTGATATTAGTTATAATTAATTGAATTACAATATCTTAATTAATTAATGATGATTATAATATAAACAACTATGTTGGTGATAATATATGATAATTTTATTTATAATCTTTTTAATTTGAGTTGTTTATTTTAATATAATATGTATTATTAATAATTCTTATTTTCTTTATATATATATATAAACAATAAAAAAATATTATATTTATGTAGTATAAAAAATAAATGTTTTTTATATAGTGAAAATTTATAATAAATATGTTTTAATATAAAAATTATATCTTGAATTTACAATAAACATTTTAAATTGTGATATAAGATATAATTTAGTTTAAAAATAAAAATAAAAGAGAGTAAATTACTATAGATAGACAACAAAGAAAATCAAATCAAATATACATAGAAAGATAATTGAAAGAGAAATAAGAAGACTGGCAGAGAATTTTTAACTAATTAAAAAATACACATTAAAAGATCTAGAATCTCACTCTCCAAATGTGTTTTAAAATGTTAATTTATTTATTTATAATACAAGGATAACTTTGTTTTGTTCTGTTTATTTTTTTTAATATTCGTTTGTAGCTCATTCTTATTGTTACTTGTTTCATTAAAATGAAAAAAAAGTCTTAACAAATTACATAAATGGAAAAGCAATGCCAACAGCTGTAATGAAATTGTGCTTGTGACTCGGAGACGAATGATTAAAGAAGGTAAGTAAAGATCAGAAAGGGTGAAGGGAGTCCATACGAAGTTAAGGAGTTGAGTTTTGTTGCGTGGTCTTTTCAATTTTGATTTGCGAAAGGAGGGAGAAAGGATAAAACGTGGAACGTAGCTTTCACATATTTATATATTTACCCATTTTTCTCTCATTTTTTATATATATACATTTTGAACCTTCCCACTCTCAGGTTAATTTGAACATAAGCATTATCATTACCGACTACCGAGGGACGCAGTCACAGATCGTGAAAGCGCCCCTGTACTCTCTTCTTCTTTGTTGTCTCAGTTTGAGTTTGAGCTTTGGTCTTTCACAGTCACAGATCTTAGCTGCGCTTGCGGTAGCCTTGGATTGGTAGAGGAAACTGAAGCCTTCGCTCCATGCCACGGCGGCATTAGCATTATTACTCTTTCTTGACTCATAATTTTTCATGCTTATACAACACACACTCTCTCTCTGCTTGTGTTTGCGCTAAATTTGTGAAGAAGAGCAGGCTGTAGTGAATGTATCTATCTGAGTTACTTGTTCGTATCATGTTGTGTGTACTCTGAAGCTATCTCTTCTGCAACCAACCGCGCTCTAGAACAAGAATTAAAAACAAAGGTTAGGTTCGTCGTTCTTGTTTCATTTCAGTTTCACCTTTTCTCCATTTGGATCTAAGTGGAACCGAAGATTTTAACACATTTATTTTGTCTGTGGGTAGTGAAGATCTGGAAACCTTAAGGACCGAATTAGATCTCTCGAATGTCTCAAATCAAGAGCCGCTGTTCCTGTCGCAACTGCAACTGCTAGGGTTTTTGATTTGTGCCGATGACTACCAAACGCGCCTACAAACTTCGTATCCTTTATGTCTGTGGTGGGCAATGCACTTGTTCTATCTGTAGATCTCTCTACTCTCTACTCTCTACTGTCTACTTTACTTTGTTATTCTTCTATTAGAGTCTCTTTGAGAGTTATGACTGTGACCTCAATTAGTTGTCTTGGCCTTGACGAGTTGTGCTCAGAGGAATTTGTAGCACATGCTTCCACCGTCAATTGCCTCAAGATTGGACGAAAATCATCCAGGGTTCTTGTCACTGGAGGTGAAGATCACAAGGTCAATCTTTGGGCTATTGGCAAACCTAATGCTATACTGGTTCGTTCTCCTCTCCTCTCATTTTTTTTAACTGCTTATTAGCTTATTTTCACCCTGGACAAGGATTTCATGTCATTTAATTGTTGATATGCATTGTTTTCCTTTTGTTGGGCTTTTTGTGCCCTTTCACATTTGAATTTTACTTTTAGTTATTTTAATTATTTGGAGCTGTTCGAAGCTAACTTGCAAGGTAAATGGGGACTGAGGAAAATGGTGTAGGCTGATTTCAGTTATGCTTTATGTGTCATCATAACATTGTCATTTCTATTTGTTTTATTTTGGCTTGTTCTTACATAATGGTAGATTTTGTTTCTTTAACTTCTGTATATGCATATGAGCCGCAGGCCATAGCTATAGTATATTTGCCACTGCCACCTGACATGTGTGCATCTGAGGACTTCATTCTTTAATTGATAATTATGTTATTATATGATATTTACATGTGAGTATGACGTAGGCACTTTGAGACTTTAAGCAATTCTTGATCATTCAGTTTAGGTGTTTAGAGAGGAAATTGGCTGGCAGGATATTGTGAATATGCTCCTTGTATGCTGCGCTTTGGTGTAGTTGGTCACTTGGTTGGGAACAAATGTAAACACGCTAAAAAAATTAATGCTAGAATTTATCCCCTTGTTCTGTTGTCTTTTTGGCATCTTTATGGTATTTATTTCATGGAGAATGAAAGGGATTCCTCTATTACATGTTTAAAGGGAGTGGATTCCAATTTTTTCTGGGTTTATTTGAAGACAACACAACAGGGGTAGCTTATCCCCTTCTGATATATTCTACCCCCGGTAGATCTTCAAGATGGTACTCAATTCTTAGCTATTGGGATGTCCCCTTGATCCTTGTGGACAAGTGATTGGTTTGTTATCTAGATGCTTTTCTTGTTTTTATAAAGGGAATAGATGGTACTGCTATCATTTTTTTATTTACTTTTGTCTGTCTCATATTCATATTTCACAGAAACATATTCCTTTAATAGAAAAGAGAGAATTTTTTTTTTTTTTTTAATCTATTTTCAGTAAGTGTTGTTTCTCATCTTGCAGAGTCTATCAGGACATTCAAGTGGAATAGATTCTGTAAGCTTTGATTCCTCTGAAGTGTTGGTAGCTGCTGGAGCTGCAAGTGGTACTATCAAACTTTGGGACTTAGAAGAGGCAAAAAGTATGCAGTTGCTTGTCATTTCCTTTAATGGTGTTAAAACATTGATGAAAGAGATCTGACTTCTGAGTAGTCTCATAAAATTTATTCAGTATGTTTACCTTAAGTTTTTTGCCCATACTGATATGTTGAGCTTTCTATGTCCGTTTGGTAGTTGTACGTACGCTTACTGGTCATAGGTCCAATTGCACATCAGTGGACTTTCATCCTTTTGGAGAGTTCTTTGCTTCTGGTTCTCTAGATACTAATCTTAAGATATGGGACATCAGAAAGAAGGGTTGTATCCATACATACAAAGGCCACACTCGAGGGGTAAATGCTATTAGGTTCACCCCAGATGGACGCTGGGTTGTTTCAGGCGGTGAGGACAACACTGTAAAGGTTAGAATCACTTTCCTTTTTCATGATATTAGCGGAGTCAGATTCCATAACAAGGTTATTTATGCTCAATGTTAAATAATTTAAACTTATCTATTATAGGTTTGTTGAAATCAACATGCTTACAAAGCCACCCTTCAAACTTATATGACAGTTTTCAAAGAAAAGCTGAAATAGTTTTTATTATTGTTAAATATTGCATGTCAACTATGAAAGGAGAAAGTAGCCAGTCATATTGAGCCATATATAGTTGCATCTTGCATGTTTTTTTTTTTTTTTCCTCAAATAACCATAATTAAGAATTATGGTTCAAGCTTTGTCCATGTTGGGGAGGATGTAATGAAGACTGCTGGGTGAAATATATGAACATGATGATGGATACCTTAAAAATACAGATGAAGTGCAGGCTTCTACTGTTGTAACCAATATATATATATATATATATATATATATTTAGAGTAAGTCTTGGTAGACTTATTGCACTTAATAACTAATGTTTTACATTTAATCTTAATGATTCAAACATCAAATTAGAAGTTCTTAATGTATAAATCAATTTTACAAATTTTTTAAAATTTGAAAACTATTTGATTTGATACTTTGTTTAATGGATAATCATAAAAGTTTTTTATATGTTGATTTGAATCTATATAATGAAGTATTATATGGTTTTCAAATTTTTTAAAAATTTGTAGACTTGACTTATATATTAAAGACTTTTAATTCAACAGTTGAATCATTGAAATTTGATGTAGAATATGAGTTATTGAGTGGAGTGGAGTAATTTTACCAAGATCTACTCTTAGAGTAAATAGATATCTTCGATATATATGTGTGTGCGTGTGTGTGTAATGTTCATGAGATGCTGTGTCACTAAGAGAGAACAAATAAAAAGGTGAACATAATAAACATGATAATTTGAGGGTATACACATGGTAATGGTAGTAAAGATAAAGTAAGAATTTAAGCTGTCCATGTCAGGCTTTGCAACTTTCTAGGTGTACAAGTCACCTAGTGCTTTCTTTTGTGGACTGGCACTTCATTGACTGTGATTGGGAATCTAATCTTGGTGTGTTAGGCAAGGTTGCCCTTTTCTCTCCATCTTAGTTGTAGATTTCTTGAGGTGGCTGCTCTTTAGGGGTGTGTAGGATGGTGTTTTTGAACCTTCTCGTGCACTCTACCTTACCCATTCCAAACAATACAAGAGAAAAAGATAATTTTCTCTGTAAACATGGAATGTGCTCCTTGACTTTGCACAACTCTTTTTGAAAGGTTTGGCAAAAATAAGGAGGCTAAAATTTTGTGTTTGTGTGGTCATTTGGTGCATTTGATTCGAGGGAAATGATTGCATTTATTTTAAAAGATGTCCTTAGCCATAAACTTGCCTTAGGATAGGATAATATTTATTTGCCTTTTTTGCTGTTGAGCTTATGGCTGTTTCAAGGAGTTGCTTGCTCGTAGTCACCTATAGAGAGATTGGGCAGCCTTACTGCATTTTTGACTCTACTTACTATTATTACTTTTTATATCTTTTTCCCCTTGTTTTTGGAAGATATATTGCCCTATTATTTCAAGAAGTTGCTCCTAGTTATATGAAGACAGATTGGTCAGCCTTGCTGCATTCTTGAGTCTACTAATAAATTATAATATTTAATTTTTGTGTCTTTTTCTCCTTTTTGTATGTGTCTATATATATATATAAGAAATGACCCCTTTGCCGCTGTATTTTGGAGGCTATTTAATCTTTTCTTACTTTAGTATATGACTTCTTGAAAGTTTGTTAAGTTCTTGACTCATTATCATGGACTTGGTGCATAATTTGCAATATATTTATCTTAATCTTGTTATGGATTGTGACTAATGTAAATTTGGCTTATATGGTTGTACTACACTTGTAAATATGAATCTATTGATTTTTCTTTGATTTTTTTTATTTTTATTATTATTATTTTTTTTTTATGTAAATCATAATTTATATACTTGCAGTTATGGGATCTGACTGCGGGGAAACTCTTGCATGATTTTAAATGTCACGAGGGCCAGATCCAATGTATAGACTTTCATCCCAATGAATTTCTACTAGCAACAGGTTAGTCTTACTTTTCTGATGAAATCATGAATTAAGTACCTTTCTACCTTAACAAGCAAGGGTGTGTACTGTGTAGTGTGTTTGGTTTGTTCTTTGTAATTCATTTTTAGTTGATACATTTTCTCTAATAATTACAAAAACATATTATTTTCATTTTGTTTCCTATTCTCAAGGTTGCATTTTTGCAATTATAAGTGAAAAAATGTCAATTAAAAATAAAAACAACAAACATGGTTTTAGAGCCTATCCACTCTCAATGTGTTGCTGCAGTGGCTGTTCTGTTTTAAGCTTTTGCAATAACTTATTTTCATAAACTTTTATTTTAGCTAATGAAAATCGTTAAGATGCTCCCCATCAGTTAGGAATATGGCCAAAATAGATCTTATAAAATTTGGGCAATCCTCGTCCTTGAGCTAGGTTTTAGGGTTGCATAGGGCTTGTCCCCATGGTGTTAGAATCTATCTAGTCTGAGCCATCCGTGGATATCCAATCTTAGGTGTGAGGGGTGCGTGTTAAGATGTTTCACATCAATTAGGTACAGTAGTCCTTATAGGACTTTGGTAACTCATCCCCCTTGAGCTAGCTTTTAGGGCTGAGTTAAGCCTAGTTTATCTCTAAAAAGTTGAACTTTTGGTAAGCTCAAGGGTTGGAAATGACGTCAACTTATGATCCTACAAGCAACTCACCTGTCACCTCAGTACATTAAGAATTTAATAAGTTGTATTTTGGCTCGTTTGAAAAATGAGTGAAGCCTGAGCTTTTAAGTGTTCAAATTTACTCCATTCCATTCAATAATTCTTTGTATATGTTAAGTTTCAATAATCTCCCTTAGGCCTGGATCAATGATGAACCCAGGTTAAGAAGAGAAAGGGTCTTCAAGAGAATACCTAGGGTCTTCTCTCCCTATCTCTTTTTTAGCCTTTGTCATATTTTGTTAGTTCTAACTAACAATCACTAAAACTCTTTTAGTTAACAGAAACCAGCAGTCCTGCACATTGGCTTGCCAAACATACACACCCAACCAATCAATCATATTTAATGGAATATAACTTACCGATCACAATGATAAAATTTAACATGGGACACTAAGTTTAAACCCCAAGAAATTTTCTTATCAATAATAATTATTGACAATTTTATGTATGTTTATGGATACCACATCACACACTCCCAACCCAATCAATAACATATAACAGAATATAACTTACTGAACATGATAATAAAATTTAAGATGGGATACGGAATACCCTAAGTTTAAAACCTAAGAAATTTTCTTATCAATAAATAAACAAATATTAATAATTGTTGACAATTTTATGTTATTATATTTATGGTTACCACATCACATACAGTGCTGGATTCTTGTGTTTTCTTTTGGAAGTATCTTTTTTTTTAAAATTTTTTTATTTGAATGAAGTCAAGTTTAGTTTTTATTTGATTTATTTCTTTCCCACATTTAGGCTCGGCAGATAGAACAGTTAAATTCTGGGACCTTGAAACATTTGAGCTTATTGGTTCAGCTGGTCCTGAGGTACCTTTTGTTTTATTAAATTTACCATTTTCTCCTGGATGATCAGTTTAGGATCAATCAGTCAAGTTAATTATGGTTTATTTGGAATTATATTTTTTATGTACTTTAGACAACTGGAGTACGTTCTCTTACTTTTAGTCCTGATGGGAGGACCCTGCTCTGTGGTTTACATGAGAGTTTGAAGGTAAGCTCTATTTTTGGTTGATTTATTTTGAGGTAATCATTTATCAAGGTAACAATATTCTGCTTGGTTCTGTTTAGGTTTTCTCTTGGGAACCTATTAGATGCCATGATATGGTGGATGTGGGTTGGTCTAGATTGTCAGATCTTAACGTTCATGAAGGAAAACTTCTTGGCTGCTCATACAATCAAAGCTGTGTCGGAGTCTGGGTTGTGGACATCTCGGTAAATGCATTTGTCTTCAAGAGAATTTTTTTGCTACTTACAGAGTGGTTGTATTTAATACTAATGTGCCTTTTTTACATTTCTGATATCTTGTCCAGCGTATAGAACCATATGCACCTAATAATGTGAACCATCTAAATGGCCATTCAGAAACTAAATCTTCAAGTGGAAATATGACTGTACTGAATGAGATCACTGCTAAGGCTAGGCTATCTGTTTCTCAAAATCCAGATCAATTAATAAAGGAAACAAGGTCTCTTGGAAGGTTGTCAGTTTCTCAAGATTCAGACCCCTTAAAGGAGGGAAAATGTGTGGCATCTATATATCCTTCCTCTTTTTCCAATTTTTTATTTTATTTTTTTGCATTTGTTTTGATTGAATTGTTTGTCTAATCTTTATTGTATCTGGACCCATTTGGGTCCTATTCTCCATTAATATCCTTACTTTCTCACTATGTGACTTATGGATTGCATGAAGCCACAGGAAGTGCACCAAGTACTCCTCAAAGGATCAATTTGAACTCTGGTCCAAAAACAGCACCTGTTGGTTCAACAACAGTTCTTAATACAACATCTCAGAAAAGGAGTTCTTTGAAATCTCATACAACATCCAGTGTTCCACTCATCAATAAATCAGATATTATACCGGTAATTGTTCCCAGAACTAGCACAAGGTCAGAGCCTGTAGTTGATTCTAGAAAAGAAGTTGGTGTTGCTGGAAGAACAATGCCATTCCCCTTGCAGTCAAAGCCACCAAATATACGTAAATTTCCAAACAACAAAGATGATGTGGATAAGGCCCCCCTCCCTCCTGTAACCGAATCTGTAGCTTCTAAGGGTAGTGAATTAAGCAGTTTAGCTGATAAAAACAATTTCCCTGCTTCTGTAAGCTCAACACAAGGTATTCCTACATCTTTGAAAGGCTTAAATCATGCTAGGTGTTATGAAACTGGCAAATATTCAATAAATTGATAGAGCCAAGTGCTATTAATCAGCACAATTTTTACACATCCTATATCCAGAACACAACTATGTTTGTTTTCCAATGATTGATATTTATGCAATATGCTTTATAGTCATAATCTATTTAATTGTAACTTGTACTGTTAGTGTTATAGCAATTGTCCAACTCTTAACTTTTTGGTAAAATGGTTCTCTGACATAGTATTGGAACCTGATTAAGCAAATAATCTTGTACTGTTTGTGTGCTTGGGTTTATACTTGTAATACACTTATAATTTGAGCTTGAAGTGGGAGTTGCCCCCCATTTGCATGTACTATTTTGGCCATATTGTTAGTCAATGTGAGATCGTCAACACACTCCTTCATATATAGGATTGTACATGTTGAGCCTGAAGTTTGTAGGAATACACATATGTGAATGATCCGATAACGGCCAAATAAACCCAACAACAAAACCACTAATTCTATTCGATATCATCTTAGAGTTTGGGTTTAGGACTAACTCAACCTTAAAAGCTAGTTCATGGGATGAAAGTTACTCCCCATTTATATACACATCATTTAGCCATATCATTAGTCAATATGAAATCTCCAACGATACTAATACTACACTAGTAGTTGACTTGATTATTGATATAAGTGGGAGCATTGGGTTAGTGTTTTGTAATACATTATCATCATAGCATATTAATCTATAGTTTGATACCAATTACCCAAACATACTTTCTCTCGCTTACTCTTTCCTTATCCAATTTTATAATTCAAACAGGTCTATTGTATGATTATCACTGGCAGTGCTCTTTGAAAATAAATTTCTGTATATAGCAGTATTGAGTCTCAATCACTGTAGTTGTGAGTATGTGGTTTATCTACTTGTAACACACTTTCATGTGGATGGTAATACATGTCTAATCAAGAACATTTTTAAGTACTTATTGACTATTTGACTTATGCTTTTAAGTGAATTTTTTGATGGATAATATATTTTTTTTCTTTTTTTTTCTAGATATTATCTTACCTCAATACATGTCATGTTCCCGAGCCAAAAAGATCTCCTGGTGTTACTCACAATAAGAAAGTAATACAAGTGTCAGATGGAAACTAGTTTTGCTGAAGATAAAATTAGATCGATTTATATATACCATGCCAGTGAAAAAAACCTTGTGTACAAGTGAGTTCTGTGCTGTGACAAGAAGCCCCAAACTGCAATAACAGAAATTGACCCTTAATAACTATAGCAAGCCATTATTGTTTTATGCTTTGTGCCACCATGAATAAGGGATGTTGTAAGAAAAGATGACATGTTTTCAGAGTCATTCTAACATCTAAAAGTAATGTGCCGTTAATAATTTTGTCAGGCATATATCTCAAGACAAATTGTTAACTTGCAGGAAGCTTTAACTTTCCAAAGTGATTTGCTCATTAGGAATGTTTAGGGGTGTATCAATGTGTCTCAACTTGTCATGGAAAGGGCATGTGCTTGTGTCTTCTCTTTGGTGTTATGCATGTAGCTGTTTTTATTTGTGTGAATTTACATGGACACTGAATACAAGGATATATTGAGACAAAATATAAACTTAGCCAATGTAACCTAAAGACCAAAAAGGTGTGAAAGTCCAGTACACCATGTTATGGTTGTTAAAATGATTGATGAGCATTTGTTAGTTAAAATATGAATGTCTTTGTTCTGTTGGGTGGTGTATTAATACTGTTTAGTGTTCTATCTTGTGCCAGATGAAGCTCGGGCCCCAAAAGTGAACAGAGATGTATGTTCTGCCGAAGTACAAAAAGGAGGTATCTTTCTCTGTATAAATTGATGAATTTTTCATTCATACAAATGGTTTCTTAATTTGTTCTCTTCATAATATATATATACAGGTAGAGTGCGCTCACTTCTCAATTTAGAAAAGAGGGAACGATCTCTTAACTATGAGGGACCTAGACAAGGGATTTCTCATGGAAGGATATCATCAGTTCATGTTCTCCCTTTCAGTGGGGTATTATGCTATTTCGCATTGTTTTTCATGATCATTTTCTTGCCTTTCTATTTCTACCTTTTGTTGGATATGATGATTAATGCATCAAAACTTAGTTTACAGACATGAACACAAAAAAAATGCTGGTATAATCAAACTTCCCTTCTTCTGCAAGAATATGCAGAAATTTATTTTGTTTGGGAGTGGGCATTCAAGTTATTTCATGGGTATGTGTACCCTTTCTGCTATAAGGGGTAAACTGTTATTGTTTTCTTTGGCTTATGCTTGTGAAAGTTCTGTGTGTAATATGATGGGAACTAGTGAATTATGAAAAAATACAAATAAGAAACACTAGGAGCTCAGCTCCTTACAGAAGAATGAGATTCTGCAAATCTCAGAATGCAACCTAATATTACTGGAAGGATGAAGACGACAGCACTTTAATGGACTCTAGAACCTCACTTTTGGCCTATGCATAGGCTTACCTAACCTCTATCACTACATTCTTTTCCTACCTTTCTCATCCGCCATTCCTTTAATATAAATCCCCCTTCACTCATACTGTTATATCTCCATCCTTCTCAATTCATTATTTCTCCTTGCCCCATAACTAACTCCTCAATTGACTGCACCTCTCTTGTCTCTTAAACTCTTAATGGTACTACTCTAGTAGCCTTCTTTCCTTCTTTCATACACCTGCCACTCCTTTGTATTTCTGCTTCTGTTCTTATTGTTATTCTTCCTAGTATATAAGTATAAACATTGTTTATAGCTTTGTCATTATACAAAATCTAAACATGTTTAAGATGTGCACATTTTTTTTATCCCCTTGTTATATTTTATTATTGCTGGTATTACATGTTTGCAATTTTGGCATCTTGTGGAACCTTTTGATTAGAATATTAGTACATTTTTCCTTTGTTGAAACATTAGGATGTAGTTTAATTGGATAATTGCATCCACTTAAAGTATACACTGAGAAACTACTAGAGAAAGCATTGCTCATTATTTACCTAAAAAAGGAAGATTAATTTCTTGGCTTCTATTGGATAGTGTATGTATAATAATTTCCTCCTTTTATAATTTATGGTTGTATCTGTTTAGTTAAAAAAATTTACTGGTGACCTTTTTATTTTATTTTATATATATATATATATATATATATATATATATATAGACATATATA